CGGAAATCAAAATCCTGCCAAGTGAACATGTGGCAGGATTCAATGTTCCCTTTTGCATCTACTCTATGGAGGGCATATCTGCCTGTAGTTGCAGCTAGAGATGGTCATTCCATAAATCCTGGTGTCAGCCAATGTATGCATTATGTAACCCCTGAACTTTCATATTTTCCTAATCCATTATTTTCCCTTTGCTAACAACAGCTGGGAAAACATTAAAGCCAAAACAAAAATACATCAACTTTTCCAGAACATTAAATCCTGCCACATGTTCACTTGGCAGGATTTTGATTTCCGTTACATGCTGGAGTTATTGTTTGGCAGCCATGCTTAATAATTGTATTTGGAACGTTTAGAATGAGGGTAGTCAACCCACAGCACATGTGCCATGGCATAGGCCATCTGCGATTGTGGCGGAGCAAACAGGGAACACAGCGACAGATAAGGCAAAGAGCAGAAATACTGACTAAAAAACACAGAGAACACAGGGCAGGGAGCAGAAAACAAAGCAACAAGATGGGTAGGGATAGGGGACTGAAGTGGCATTTAGGAAGAATGCAGGACTTACCTTGTAACGTGCTTGCCAAAAAGGTTGGCCTCCACTGTGTACTTTTACTACTTTAATATTTTTACTAATGATGGTGGCAAAAAGTAGGCTTGTACCAAAGAGAAATACCATTATGAATAGCAGTAATGAGAATAGAAAAACTGATTCCTAAGTATTTTTAATAGTGATTGAAAAAGTATTATTTTCTGAATCTACAGAAATTTGCTAAAATTTGATTTTAATCTAAATTTGGTAATTTGATTTTAATTTAAACCAGGAGTATCAAACTCACCTGGCCCTGTGATGCCAAATAAGCAGCGAGGGGCCAGTCCCAGACCAGCTGGAGTGGGCACTATGCACCGTGTCCCAGACTAGCTTGGGGGCCAGAGGTGAGGGGGCATGGGGTGTGGAACAGATGTCAGAGCAGCTAGAACAGGCCAGGCCAGCATGTGTGGGTCAACCCAGACCCAGGGGCAACATCAAGAGCCAGATGACAGGGCTCTATACAAGCTGTATTGTTAATACCGCTAATCTAAAATAATCCACAACTGTAAAAATGTTTAGTTCTTTCTTTACCAACCTAGCCCCGTGTGACTGTTTTAAAAAACGTTGTTCAAATGTTGTTCTATAGATTTTGCTTTTGCTCTTTCATGCCAGAGTGACCAGGATTCATATTTCCAAGAGTTCTTGAATTACAGGATGTCTTGCATTGTTTTATATGTTTGGACTATAGCAGACATCCAGTACAAACAAATCTGTACTAGCAGAATTAGCTGGAACAGATCCTGGATTTTAAGAACATCCCGTTTTGAAAATGATGATTGATTACCAAGTGAAAACAAACTCCCCTAAAAACCCCCATGACCAGGAGTAATTATCTTAGAAGAAAACATGCACTTTCCCAAATGTGATAAGCTTCACTAAATTTGAGACTATTAGATTAATTAGCTAGCGATCTGTTGTTCTAAGCTCAAAAGTTGCTCTTTTGTCAAGGAAAGAGAAAATCTAACCTTTTCTTATCCAGATGTCAGTAAGTTACACAACTTAGTAGTTTCTGCTTATACAATGTGCAAGGTACCCTTCCATGTTGAAAGCAAGCCTTAAGTATTATAAGAAAGCATTTATCTATTTTAATCAAAATGTATTATACCAGTAATTCCCATTGTGTACATTACAGACCACAGATTCTGACCCTCCAAAAACATTTTCCTTCAAACTTTTTTGGTTAACAAAATAATGCTAAATGAATAAGGAGGAAGGTGAATGGAAATACATTAGGATGCTATTAACAACACAGTGCATGTAAACATAGGTCCATTCAGTTTTGCCTTGTATCAAGAGATGCTTTTCACAGAAAACGTTATGGTAGCTAAACAGTGGCTTAGCCTTTCCTATTAAAAACTGGTTGCTTTGCATTTAAATAAATCTAAATCCTAGCAAATTAATTACTGCTCATTACTACTTAGCTTTGTGTCTCTTGTTTCCATCCTGAAAACAAAAGGAAGTGATCAGTGTTCCTCATGATCAACGACTAGACTTAATTACTTTTTCAGTTTCGTTTTAATCTAATAAACAGACAAGGTCAAGTATGCTAATGGTACTTCATGGAATAATTAATATTGGGAACAATTCCTTTCCCTGGCCAGAGGTCAGAACTGTGGAAATACTAAATCCAAAATGAGGTTCCCCCCATCTTAGATTTGAGTATCAGCTGAGGCAGGTGCTGCTCCAGCTCCAGCTCCAGCCAGGGTGACAGTGTATTGTGCAGGGGAGGTCACGAGGGAGACCATGCAATGCAAGTGTGGAGGGGGGAGGAAGGAGCATGGATGAAGCTGTACTGCATGGGGTGTGAGTGCAGGGGAGGTCACTCAGCAGTAGGACAGCTGCCCTGGTTCTGGCTGGAGCTGCTGCTTGGTTGGGTTAGAGCCATTGTATGCTCCATACCCCAGAGTCAGAGCTGCCACAAAATAAGCAGCAGGGCGGGGCAGACTACTTTCTGCACCCCCCCCCCTTGCTACCTGGCTTCTGCTTTTCCCACCACAGCAATGCAAAAGATGAATTTCAAATGACCCCCAATAATTAGATTCTATACATGTAAAATTATCATAAATGTATAATTTCCCATGTATAGAATCTAATTATTAGGAGTGGGGGGACATTTTACATTCAAATTCAAAGTTTTCTTGGATTCATGGAAGTATGGTATGTTCAGGTGCTGGGATGCAAGTTATAATGTTGTGCGAACAGCTGTTGCTGTTGAGACAGACCAGCTTTTGACAAACTACACAAGCACAAAATGGCTTTTAGCATTCAGGCTTCAAGATGTACAAAGGGATTTAAGACTAAATACAGTGAATGAACTCATTCAAGGCAAATAAATAGGTGTTTCTTCTGTGTTAATTATTGAAGTTCTTAAAGAGTGTGTGGGTATGTGCATATATAAATAAATAAATGTTACATACATACACACACACACACAAACAATCTCAACATGCATAAAACAATACATCAGTGGATAATGACTTACAAAGCAACGTTAATAATATCTGCCTGTTGGGTACAGCCAGAGTTTTCTCCAACCTGTATTACTGAAGCTGTGAAGTTTTCAACAGAATTTTGGAAAAACTGTACTTTAGAAATTAGGCTTTAGAAAAAAGTTCCTAGCTCTAGATGGAAAACACAAAACAAAACTAAACAGAGTAAGACAATTAATTTCATCTTTTTGAACTCAAGCCTGAAAGAAGTGGGACGCATCTCAATGAAAGTGTTCCCCAAAACCTATTGATTTGTGTTGACAGATATTTCACTCCTGATTGTTCTAGTGTATGTCCAACTGATGTGCTTTTGTCTTACAGTCCTGCATTGTTGTCATGTCCTCCCACATACATATCTGGCAAATCTCTTGTCATAATCCAAAAAATGAGAACTCCCATAAGCAGAATCTGCTTCATCTTTACTCATGCCTCAGTTGTGCCAGCCACTATATGAACCCTAATTGGGAATTTGAGGCTACTGCAGGTTAAGTATGAAGAACTCTAGTACTAGAGTTGAAACCTCAAATATTGAAGTGTTTCAATTTCAAGCCTCAGCAGCTTGAGTCAAGTAATTTCAGGAGAACCTTGCATTCAAATTTTTAAAAGGATGTTTCTAGCCTTCATTGTTGAAGATATGAACTTGAGAACACAGGCTCCAGAGGGCTGAAATACAGAAAGGCAAATAGTATGGTTCCTGTCAACCTACAATTTAGCTCCCAGTAACCAAGGAAGTTTCACACTCACTTTAACCCACCTGAAATCTTAAGATCCTGCTGTCCTTTCAACTTGCTTCTCTAAAGAAATCAGAAGGGGAGAGGAGAATCTCTTCCCAATAACCATCTTTACCTAGAACAGGGGTAGGCAATGTTTTTGGCCAGAGTGCCCAAAACACCTGCAACCTCGACTTGTAAGATGTTGGTGTGCCAGGGGCAGATGGCATGGGAACTGCAAGGGGTCCGATCCTTCTTGTGGAAGTGTAGACCTGGCCCCTTCCCCAACCTCCACCCAGAGGGGCATGCAGGCCAAGCAAAACGCCTTCGTGTGCCACACTGGCACCCATGCCAGGGGTTGCCTGTCCCTGACCTAGAACTTTGCCTGTCTCCAGCTGCTGCTCTAAGGCCATTTGCATTGCCCAAAGCCAAAGCTTCAAACCAAGGAGCAGAAACAGGGGCTATAAAAAACGAACTAAGTTAAGGTTTAGAAAATATGGTTCCTTTCCATTAAAAGTCTTGACTGTTAACTTTAGCACTGGTTTGGACAAGAGCCATCATTTATCAGATTTAACATCTGTAATCTTGGAAAGGGTGGCCTGATGGTTACAGAAAGATTTGTGTGTTTTGCCCAGCTCCATCAGTGCAGATGTCAAATTGGTACATCATGGGAACAGCCCAGCCAAGATGTGCTACTGCTCATCCACACACTCCAAAACAGGAAATACAGTAGTGAGACTGGTCAGGAACATCTCTGCAGCTACTTTTGAGATCTGTCTCTGGTGCACACAAGAGTATTTGCTGGGAATGACCAACCTTCCCATTGTACTTCTACGTGCTGACCTTGCACATGAAAGCAGATGGGCAGGGCAGGCTGCTGAGACAGTTTGCCCCCCCCGTATGATCCGTAGCAAAATATGGATAAACATCTTCTTGCCTTGTGGCAGTGTTGGAGGGCTCGTGAGCAAAATTAGTATTATACTTTACATTTCTGTAAGACATATACATAGAACCCTGATCCAAAGGAATGTTCTGAGTAACAGTCATGCCAAAGAGAATGAATCAGTCACAAGACTTCCCTCAGAAACTCAATTAGATAAAAAAGGTAAACGGCAATTACAAAAATATTTAAAGCTTTTCCAAACTATATTCAAAGTATTGAAGAAATCATGGTTTGTTTTAAATGCAGTATATTAAAAGCAGACACCAACGTTCTCAAAAACCTCTGTTTTATTTGTACAGAGTAAAATACACTGGATAGCAAGCATACCATTTTCAACCCACAATCTACAGCCATTAATGAGTGTATTATTTTTACCAAATAGCTTGGTCTGAAGCAGTCAATAGGACTGGGGACTTAGTTAGTCTCTCTCTGCTAGAGCTACGAGGTGTGTATCAATCTCTGCTTCTGTGAGAATCCTAGACAGGATAAAAAAAAAAAATCATGAGTTTTGGTTATTCATCCATACTCCTCCATCTAATACTCCCACAAACAAGCATCAGTGGCACAGCTGTATCTTTCATCCCTGGTAAGGATAACTGGTAGGACAATGAGTCAGCATGATGATGCCCTTTGGAAAACAGTGGAAAAACCAGGAGCCCTGTAGAGAAGAGGGAGCAGTGGAAAAAAGGAAAACATGTTGTTTCTCATGAAAAACTACTTCACAGTTAGGGCGGCTAGGAGCTGGAACCAACTTCCAAGGGAGGTGGTGCTGGCCCCTACCCTGGGGATCTTTAAGAAGAGGCTGGATACTTACCTGGCTGGACTCATTTGAGTCCCGTTTTTGTTTTTAGGGTGGCTTTTTTTTTTGGGTTGCTCTCCCGCCCTGGCGGGGGGTCGGGCTAGAAGATCTATTAGGTCCCTTCCGACCCTGTAACTATGAAACTATGAGTAATCTACTTGCAAACTGGGAGTGTCTGAGAAGACGCAAGATGTTTGCCCCAAAAGACCTGCCAATTTTGTGGCCTTCACAGTGTAAAAAAAAGTGTAGCAAGGAAGTACCCTTACACAGATGTCTCCCCATATGGCCAGGGTCATCACGAATAAGGGTCAGGAGAGAACTCACTACTAAGCCTTTTTGCTCTTTGGTAGTATTTTAGGGAAACAATATTTGGAGTGCTAATCTTACATTTAGCAAAGTAAACATGAAGAGAAAATCTAGATGTAATGGGTCTTGGTTGGTAGTGTGAAAATAACCATCCTTTCTGGAACATCTCAGCTTGTGCTATTGATACCATAACCTTTGGGCTGTATTCATAGATCACTTTACCTGAAGGCCCAGAAAGCTCATAAATCCCAATAAGTTCTCCCTGTATCTGCTGAATTCAGATACATACTAAAGTTTGAGCCTCGGAGATTCTAAAATCAGATTTTAACTCAGCACCCTCCAAAAACCTCAGAAGAAACCTGATATTGAACTATATAATTTCTAGCATTTGTAAGCTTTTCCATTTGAGTATTTAGCTTTAAGTGATGCATCTACTAGAACTTTTTCACAGTACACAAAAGGAGCTAGCAACACAAAACATTTTTTTCAGAATACTGGTTGGTCAAGCCAACCATTCCTGATTAGTTTAAGGAATCCAGAGAGCAATGCCACAACTTAACTCCCTAAAGCATGTCTAAATTAAATTAATACAAATATTTCTGCCTGCTGCAAATATAGTTTATCACATAACCTAACTGATGAAGAGTTTGTTTTACATGGACTGAAGTAAATTAAGTCAGGATAGATTTTTAAACAAGCAGTGCCTGGATACAGGACAAGAGTAATATAGGGCATCTGTACATGAGCAGTGAGGCTGCTCCGACATGCTATAATGACTCAATTAATCAAGTCTGCATTCTGGCAGACTTAAGCATCTCATGTATCAGCATCCCCACTCTGAAAAATGGTGGTGGGGACACTTTAACTAAAGCTTGTTGGATGAATTTTAGTTAAAGTGCCCCTGCCGGTCTTTTTTCAGCATGGGGATGCTGATACACAAGATGCTACGGGCGCTTTAATGAGAACAGCTGAGAGCCCCCTCCCCTGCAGTCCCAGAGCCACTCTGATTAAAGCACACCTCTTCCCTCCCAGCACATCTGTATAAACACAAGGGGCACCCCCCACCTTAAGCTCCTACTACCCTCCACTGCTCCAGCTGCAACAGCAGCCTGAATCTCCAGATTCCCACTCCTTCCTCCAGCTGCTGCTTCCTACCTCAGTCCTAGGGGAGGTTGGGCAGTGCAGTGCAGTGCAGCGCAGCATGGAGAGCTGGTGGGGAGCCTGGGCTACATAAGGTGGGGAAGGAATCAGGGCTGGAGAGGAAAGGAAGGGGCACAGAAGGCAAAGAACTTGACAGTTTTTACAATGGAGCAGGCTCCTCCCTATATGGAGGAAGACAAATTAAGGATATACTGCTGGGAGCTAACTGGTAACCAGAGCAGGGCTGCCTGGGGTAAGCCAGGCCTACCTAAACATTTAGGCAGAGATATATGGGCTTGTGGACATTTTGCAGTAAAATGTCCTGCTCTTTCACGTTTTATTC